ATGCGTAGTTTCTTAGCATGAGGGTGAGCAATCAAGGTTCCGAATGCTCCTGTATCCAGCAAGCAACGGAGTGTTACGGGTTTTGGTTTCCCTTTTTCACGCTTGTTAAATCTAACATAAACGATTGGGTTTGAGTCTCTTGTCTTGCGACATTTACGAGGGTGGTTGGCTACGGGCGAGGTTAACGATGCTAATAGATCATCAGAGTCTAGTTGAGCAGCCTCTAGGCAATCATCTAATTTGCCGTAAAGTTCATCCGTTGCAAACAATCTTGTTTACTAGTTAGTTGAGATACTTTCATCACTTTGGTATGAGAATCGGAAACAGAGTTCCGTTGAGTCATCATCCTGGCCTAATCCTTAGATAGAGATTTCTCAATCCAAGTGATTAAAATTGATAGAGGAGTTGTCCACATTGTCAGAGTTTTCTGATTTGCGCTTTGCAACATGTTTGCGAAGTCTGCAAGTGGTGGCACGAGTATCGTCGATCTTGGTGTCTTCGTCATTGTCGACGAGGAGGAAGAATGGGTTGTCACGCAACTGTTTCTCGAAGTTGCGGAACGCATTGTTTCCTTCAGCCATCTTCATGGTGAAGGAATAGCGGTGGAGGGTAGCTGAAAGCTATTTGTGTTTGTTTAACAAAAATGCACTACGCTAAAGCTAGTGTAAAGATCATTCTAGTGTTTTGAGTTTGAGAGAATGAAAGTTATGAGAGAGATTAGCAAGCTATGAATAATCAACGAGAGAGATCATCATCAAAGGATCGTAGAATCTCGGCTCCCGCGGGAGACTATTAAAGTGTGATAGAGTAGAGTGTGGTAGTAATCCTACGTCTCTCCACGATCCTAAAACGGAAGTCGTGCGAAGGTTTGTCTAGCCTGGATCTGTAGCGTGGAAGTAACTCCACGCTGGCTAAATATCTAGAGCGATGTTTTCATCATCAACCTAGTATGACTAGCGCGGTCATGGAGAACCCCTGTCTCAAATGACTATTCACTGAGAGACTCAGTCATGAGTCCAACTCAAACCCTATTCTAGGATCGAGTCGCGGAATAAGGCTAAGAGCCGTGTATTCGCAGAGTTTAGCCTGCAAAACGGAACTTGAGTGTGTTCGGTACTGTTTGCCACTGTCACTGATCGCTGTAACTCTCTGCCTATGGTAGGTACCGTAGCTGGCTATACAATGGCTGGATTGCATCTATTCTTCATATGGATTCCCAAGTTAGCGAAGCAAACTGAGTAAACAGGAGACCAACGCTAAAAAAGCCGAATTGTATTGACGGGATACAGTCAACGACTGTACATGCACATGAAAAAGTGCGCCTCGCTTTTTCACACAAGTTCGATGAATGAGGCGAGGGAAGCTGCATGAAAGTCGCCTCGCTTTTCACACAAGTTTCGCATGAATGAGCGAGGGAGCTGTTGCGGGGCGAAGCAAGAAAGGGATGAGCGCGCGGAGCGCGCGAATACTGTTCCAGGTGTTGGTAATAAAAGATTTATGGAAACGGAGACGACCCAGGGGGCGTATGAATATTATTGCTGTTTTGAACTGACTTCTCTGACGAAGATCGCCACAATCATGAAGCCCGAAGCCACCGTCGTGAAGATAGCAGCGCCATTGCTGATAAAGAGGCCCACTAGCTACGGTAGCTAGCTATACGGTATAGCTAGAGTATCTCGATCACACCAAAGCACAGTGCGAGGAGTTTCATTGCCCTTCGCTGACTTGGAAGCCTCAAGGTAAAGATCTTCAATCTGAGGTTTTGCGGTACCTCCATCGTTGCTGTGCCGTTCTCTTCGAAGATATCTTTTGTTCCCTTTTTTCATCTCGATCGATCGATCGAACGATCAAAAGATGGCCGTGATACCGGTAACAAGCGAGATGACGAAACATGGTATCAAAACCTGGAAAAGTTGAAAGAGTGCCAGAACACGGATGGGACCTTTGACGTTCGTGATGACAAGAAGCTTCAGACCTGGGTGAACAATCAGAGGACAACGGCCAGTCGAAACAAAATGGCCGGGTATAGAAAGGATGCACTCCGTCAGATTGGATTTAGCTTCCAAAAGGCAACCAAACGTTCGAATCAAAAAGGCGTCAACAATAGCAATCATCGTAGGAGACGGAGTCGCCGTCAAGACGGAAGAAGAAGAAGAGCCGGTCAAGGAGGAGATTGAAATCAGCAGTAGTAGTGAAGAAGAAGACCACGAAAGCGAAGAGGAGGACGGTGAGGAGGAAGAGGAAGACTCGGAGGAAGAGGACTCGGAGGACGACGAGGAAAGTCTACGAGAACTGAAGAAACTTCGCAAACTAGTTGCGGCCCAGGAAACAATCATCATCAATCAAGTTGAAGAAATCCAGCGCAAGAAAAGTATCATCAGCAGTCAGAGGGAAACCATCAAACGGCATAAAAGTACAATCCACAAGCAGAAAAAGAGAATCAAGGTTACCCCCAGTCAACTCGATGTCCTCAAACGGCAAGCAGACACTCTGCAGCAAAAAATTGCAGACATTCAACATAGCTAGCTAGACCAGCTTGGAAAAGCAGTGAAGGAGGCTGGCCTGTTTGTGACTTGATTCCATTCCACTCAACTCATGCCATCTGATCGAGGGTGCAACCAAAGAAGTGTATGTAATATTCTACCCTATCTGTATCCGTATCCGTATCCATGGAGTTCAAATCATTCTTTATTTTTGAGATAACCATAGCGTCCACATCTGCCCTGCGATAGTCCAGCCGTTAGGAATTAAAGCAGCATCCAGACCAGTCTAGGAGCTGAGAGCCAACTTCAAAGACGTATTTTGAGACATGTCAAAGTGTATCGGTACCTAGCAAGAGTAGCCAAACAGTTATTCGTGCCAGCATATGGCCGAGCTATTCTTCTGCCCATCTAGTTAGAGCACCGCAAACGCCCACAAGCAGTTGCATCTCCATGGATGCAACAATGGAGTAAGTAACAAAGTCTTGTTATCAAGAAGGCTTCCCGCTGCGCCACTGCCCTAAACCAATTACCTCAGCAGGCATTGGAGCGGAGAGAGTAAGCCCCTGCAGCCAGGAAACGAATGAAGCCCAACACCCAACTACAGCAAAGCACATTGTGACGGCTCACCTATTGGACCAGTCACCACTACAGGTAGGCATCGCCTCGTGTATGCATTGGAAGTTCCAACACTATCTGTACTTGTCAGGTTGTCATCTGTTGTATCATCGTGCCCAAATGCCGCTTCCAGGTCAATACTTGCCTCGTATGAATAGAAAGAAGCCTTTGCACGATGTCTGCCTTCTCTGATGCTTTCTACAAGCAACAGTACGACTTTAGCCAAGCCAACTGTCTATACGGTAGCCAAGCCTTGGTGCCTGAAGGTGGCATATCCAACTGTTCCTCTAAGGGATGCTTGAAGAAGTAGTGTACTAGCTAGTACAAATGAGAGTGGCACCTCATCAACCTGGTAGAAAGGAGCTCTACATCTCTGCAGTGGCTAGAGCAGCTTTAGCTTGCGAGCTCCTTGCCCCGGCCACTAAATTGCTCGCACTGGTGGTACTGTACCCTTGTACGGTTGCTTCGATGTAATACAAAACCAACTGGCTGTTACGGGCCATATGTCAACTCCGTCACCTCCTGAGTTCTGGTACGAAAGCAGGCACAAAGAACAATCCTCCAACTGTACCGGTCGCCAGGATCCAAGACGGTTGATGTCAAAAAGACGAAGAAGCCACCAGGTACCGGTACCAGTGCTGGCTAGCTAGTTGCATGCATGAACCACAATCAATCTGTTGAAGAAGAGAGGATTTGCTTCAGCGTCCATTATTACTCTACCTATCTACCTGGATATTCTTTCGATCATGATATTCTTTGCAGGTGCCAATGCTCCCGTTGTCCGTCGAGAGACGCTGGAAGATCTGACAGATCGCGTTAGAAAGAGTGGAGGCAAGAGTTTGCGACTATGTCTGCATGACCATGTTCCTGTATCTGCTGACGATGGCTTGGCATGGACTCGCTGGCTAGAGGCCCTTCGATCAAGCGATATTGCCAATATCTCTGTGGATTTTGAAGAAGGCAACACTCAGGAGGAGGAACAGATGGTGTCTAGTCACCAAATTCTGCAGTCATTGGTAGCCAACCTCTCAAATTTACGAGTCTTGAAGCTCAGTGGATACTGCCAATCTACAGGAATGCCACTGACGGAACTTACCAATCTGCTCAAGACTGGTGGTGCTGCTGCATTGACCCACCTGCACTTGACTTCGGTAAAGATGGATGTTAAAGACATCCAGTCATTCTCACTGGCTTTGGCAGAACATGCCTCGCTTACAGAACTTCGATTGCAAGATTGTCAGCTTCACCTTGCTAATACTGCCGATGGTTTGGATTCGGATGAATTTCTGTATCATCTGCTGGAGGGAGTCTCAGCGGCTCCAAACCTAAAATCTCTCTTGATATCACCCACCAAACGCCAGGCTTTGGGAACGATCTCTGTTAGAGCCATTGAAAGACTACAAAGTGCCAACAATCATCTGACATCCCTGATACTCTATCCAATACATGGGTTCTTTACTACTTCAGGTGGTGCCATGTCGCCATTTCAAGCACTCACAAGCTTGCTGGCATCCAACCAAATCCCCACGCTGAAACAACTTCATTTGCCATTTTGTGCTGACAACCAAAAACAGTGCCATGACATTGCATCACTCCTCACGTCCAAAACAAGTCTGGGTAGTCTCGATTTGATGGGAACATCCCATCAAGACATGATGGACTTGGAACAACAACTGCGGCAAGAACAAGAACAACAACACCAACAACAGCAACACGAAGATACTCATGATCACCACCACCCACTCCTACAAATCGCACATGCCTTGTCCGGTTCCTCGTTGCAATCCATTGCCCTGACCGGATTTGGAACCACAGGCATCCCATTTCATGTCGTGCAAGCATTTGCCCAGACTGTCCAGCTCAATTATGGAATCCAACAAATGTTACTCTATGATATTCAAACCACTGTCCTACGAAAGACTGTCGACTACCACTGTCATCTCAATCAACAAGGCCGGAAACGCTGGTTGCAGCACATGTACGCAAACAACAAACCAAAACGACGACAAGAATTCTGCAAGGCTCAAGATGGCATGGAGCAGAAGTCTACTCAAAGCCAACAGAGAATGCTGTTCCGGTTAGCCCAAGACAAGGATGCGCTCTATTACTACTTGTCACACATGAACCCATCTTTTCTGGAACACCAGAGCAAGCAGGCTAACAAATGCCATCAAAAGTGAAAAAGAACTCTTGTATCGCTTGACAGTCGCCATTGTCTAGCGACCATGGCCTAGCTAGCAAGTAAGCTTGAAATCCTTTGAGCAAAGAAGAACATTCTCTACTCCATTAGAACATTTTTAACGTTTTCTTGCTCTGCAGTTGTTGAGTCTGATGCTCTGGGCGCCTCGCCTTGTCCCGTCTGAACTGAGAGTCTCTGCTGATACCGGTATCCATGGCAGATTTCACCCTATGCATTCTGGGGGCTCGATGCCGCCCATGTACGGTGCGAGGGACTCTGCAGCCTAGACAATTGCGTCTGCTGGAACGGCGCTTCGTCCCTCACGTTACAATTGGGCATGGACATGCAACCCCCATCATTTGATCGGGTGAGAAACGATCGATCGAGTCGAATCGTTTCGTGCCTTCCAAAAACTCAAGGGCATGACGAACAGCAGAGCCAGTTCATGGCCTGAGAAATGCGTCGACTCGACTCATTCATGACCAGCTTCCAGGTTACCATCGCTTCCCTCTGCGTTCGCGTACTGTTGCGCATCGTCGTCGTCTCCCTCCTCTTCGGCACTTTCATCTCCGTGTTCGGTGTGTTCCTCGGCCATCCCGTCATTTTCGTCCTCCGCATTGTCACCGTTCTGGTTGTTGTTGGCTGCAGCCTCTTCCGGAGCTGCGTCATTCTCCTGCTCCTCGCCACCAGCCATTTCTTCGTCGCCCTTGTTGTTGTTGTCTCCTGCTTCATCGTCTTCCTCCTCGTCATCATCATTGCCGTCTTCTTCATCCATTTCTTCCTCTTCTTCGCCATCTTTCGGCGCTTCCTTTGTCTCACCAGGCGGTTTGTCGGAGGCACCTTCCTCCTTGTTGATGAGGGTAACTCCTGGCAAGATCCATTTAATATATCGACCTCCACTTCCCGTTCGCACATTGCCCGCTTTGAGCAGCGCTTTGGTAATCGTATTTTGATACGACTTGGCCTCCATTTTGCTCATCATTTGTTTGACCCACGCGGCATACTTGGGGGATTCCTTGATCCATCTCATGATTTCGGTCCGCGGCACTCCTCCATCGGCCGCTTGTTCTCGTATTTCCGACGCCGACGTGGCATCCTTGACGGCATGCAAGGAGATGGTGGACCCGATCAGTTGATGTTTTCGTTCCCATCGTTCCGATTCGACGGCTTCGTTCATGCGTTCCAACAAGGTTTCAATTGGTAGAGCATCCAATTCGGCTTGCAACTGCGCAAAGGGTGCCGCCTTTGGTTTTTTGGCTTTGATTTTTGGTTTGGGAAAGTCGGACGAGGGTGACGACGCGGAGGATGGCATTTTTCGTTTGTTATTGGTCGCGCTGCTACTACTGGCCGATTTGGTCTTTGCCGGGGAGGCTGATTTATTGTCGTCTGGTGCAGGTGGTACTGCTGCTGGTGTTTCGAGTGGGATATCAATGGTTTTGGGTGGATCCTGTGTGTCGGTTGGCAAGAGGAAATATAGGGAATAGGCATTCATTCGGATGGGTGTTCCGGAGGTTAGAATAGCCACTTCGCCTTGTCGAATTCGATGACTGGCAAAATAATGATAAGAAACCATGCATGATGTATGAAAGGGACGGGTTAGAATTCTTGTCTCAGCCACGAAATAGCCAGATCTCAAATTTCGAAACCTACCTTCCCACCATGATTAGATTCTTTCCCAAGGCTTCCAAGACAAATGCTCCCCGCGATGGAAATGATGTCGTCTTCTCCTTATTATTATCGTTGTCGTCTTCCTGGGAATCGCCCTGCTGATTGACGGCCGTGAATGGTTTCGCCGTGGCAGTATCGTAGACCAATTTGCCTTCGTCGTGCGATTCTCTGGGAGCCGTCTTTGGTGTGATTAATTTTCCACCCACGGCATCACGGTAATCAATGACACAGTGTTGTCTTGACAATGCCTTGGCGGGTCCCAAGGAGAAAAAGTTGATATCTCCGGTGGTATGGGATCTCCCCAGTACGGCAGGTAGCCTTGTCAGCGGAATGGTAACTCTCTTTCGAACTCCGTCCTTCTGTATATATATATTGGATAGTGTAGATTGTAGATTGATTGACATGCAGTGGTGTGGAACGGTGTGATCCAGTCCAATTCGAATAATAGTGAGTGACAAGGATACCTCTCGGTAAGGCAATGGGCAGATTGGGTATCTTACGTACCTCATATACCCCATCGAGCAAACCAAAAGCTTTCGTCTCAATATCTCCACCCAACGATGGATGATCTTCGTCCTCTTTGGTTTCTTCCTCCTCCTCCTTGATGCTTGTATCGGCAGCTTCTGCAGCAGCCTGTTCTTCCTGTTTGATATTACTATTGCTTTCCATTTCGGTATCTTTGGATTCGCCCATTTGAATAAAGCTATCGTGCATTCCACCTTCTTCTTCTTCTTCTTCTTCATCTTCCTCGTCGTCTTCGTCATCCTCCTCCTCAGGATCCATGCGGAGCGTCTTGCCAATGGATACAGGCGGCTGCTGCTGTTGCGTTTGAGGCTGTTCGTCGTCTTCGTCGTCCTCCTCGTTCATCATCTCGTCGTCATCAGGAATATCCACCATGAAACTCGTTTCCAGGGGACCACCACCAGTAGCCTCCTCTTCCTCGTCGTCTTCTTCTTCGATGGGAGCCGAAGGGGGATCCATGGCTCAAGTCTACTACTTCTAGCTAGCTCTAGCAAGCTGGTACCGGTAGCCCTGGCCAGCTACAGTATCTAGTAGTTTTTGGGAATGATGCGCCTTCTCTCTTCTTTGGGTGAAGACAGACGTTGCTGCATGCTTGGGATCTTTTCCCGATGCGATCCCACGCATGCGTCATTAAGGGCAGTGTTACATGGTGGCATCATCGGTGTCAACATTCTCAAAAGATCCAAAATCTCAGAGATCTTTTCGCCTTTGATGATGGCTTTGGCCGTTGGACCCAATAGTCATTTACTCCAGCATTACAAATAGCTACTCGTACTAGCTAGTAGCCAGTGTTTGGTTGTTGAAGTTGCTATCAGATAGACAGATGATGAAGATGATATTCCAGGCCACCCTTATTGTGACACTGTCCTTGTTCAAGTTGGAACCAGCGTTGGCGGATAATCCCCCTCTTCCACCAGCTCCCAATACGTGTCACGAATATCCCTACAACAAATACCCCTACTGCGATGGCACCTTGCCCATCCCTGAACGTGTCGACGATTTGCTCTCTCGCATGACAATCGACGAAAAGATTAACATTTCCACCAGCGACGACCATGGTATTCCACGGCTCGGGGTTGGCAAAATATCCTACTCGGAAGGGCTCCATGGCGTCTTTTGCGGATGCATTCCTCCCTCCGACGACGTCAGTACGGGATGTGCCACCGGATTTCCCAATCCGACCGCCATGGGATCCTCGTTTGATCGAGATTTGTGGCGCCACGTGGGATTCACCATTGGACAAGAAGGACGGGCCATTCACAATGCCAATCAAGCCGGAACATTGGATGCCGGATGGGTCGGAGTCTTTTTTTGGAGTCCGGATATTAATCTCTTTCGAGATCCTAGGTGGGGACGGTACGTTAACACACACACAATACATACATTCTACTACTCAATGTTGTTGTCATGGCAACAACAAAAAAGTCACGCTCATACTGCTGTTTTTCTATTATTATAGAGGCCAAGAAACACCCGGTGAAGATCCCACAGTGACATCCAACTATGCCGCACAATATGCCATGGGACTCCAGGGAATTGGGAAAGACCCCGTCGATGGCTCGGACTACAAAATCTCTCCTTATACGCAAATTGGAGCAACCTGCAAACATTTTGCTGCCTATGATCTGGAAAACTGGAACCACGTTGATAGGAATCACTTTGATGCCAAAGTTTCCGATCGGGACATGGTAGAGTACTATTTGCCCGTCTTCAAGGCGTGTGTGCAAGAAGCAAAGGTATCCAGCATCATGTGCTCGTATAACGCAGTCAATGGTGAGTGAAAGAACAGATGGAAAAATAAGGAATTCCGTAGTAGTAGTAAGATGGCTCATCCTTTCTGTTTTGCTTTGTGTTGCATTGCATTGCATTTTGGCAGGTGTGCCCATGTGTGCCAATGACGGCTTTCTCAATGGGCTGTTACGAGAAACGTGGGGCTTTGGTGGCTTTGTTGTGTCGGACTGTGGAGCCATTGACAACATTATAAATACACACAACTACACCAAGACGCCAGAAGATACCGTCCGTGCGGCTCTCAAAGGTGGCACTGACATTAATTGTGGAGACTATTATCCCAAGCATCTGGCAGAGGCGCTCAAAGCAGGCACTGTGACAGAAAGCGATCTGGATCTGGCTCTGTCGCGCATGTTGAAACAGTTCTTCCTTGCAGGTGAAATGGATGGACCCGATCAAGTCATTTTCCAAACCTACAACAACAGTCATGTAGATACACCCAAGAGTCGAGCATTGAGTCTACGGGCTGCCGAGGAAGGCATTGTCTTGCTCAAGAATGAGGGGTCGCTGCTGCCACTTTCGCAAGACCATCAAAAGGGAAAGATTCTCTTTGTGGGACCACACGCCAATGCCACATCATCCATGCTGTCCAATTACTTTGGCACTAGCAAAATTGTATTGACCAATTCGCCATTGGATGCAGCAAAACGGGCAGGAATGGATGTGACCTATGTGGCGGGACACTCGTACGACCCAGAAAATGATTCCAAGCAGTGGATCCCCGAGGCTGTCAAGGCTGCCAAAGATGCGGACGTTGTGATTGCCTTTTTGGGACTGTGTGCTGACAATTGTCCAAGTCGAATTGAGAACGAAGGGACCGATCGTACCGACCTCACGTTTCCGGGAGCACAGCTGGATCTACTGCAAGCCGTGGCTGCAGCAAACCCCAACACAGTCCTTGTTCTACTTAACAATGGTGGTCCTATTGACATTTCTTGGCCAAAGGAAAATATCCCAACAATCTTGGAAGCCTGGTACCCTGGTCAGTATGGCGGAGACGCAATCGCCCACACGTTGATTGGAAAGAACAACCCTTCTGGCAAACTTCCCATGACAATCTACCCCGCGGACTTTACGGAAAAGCGAAGCTTCTTCGACATGGATATGAGGTCTGTCGATGGCGTGACGTACATGTGGTATCGCAACGAGGCAGTGTATGAGTTTGGACATGGTTTAAGCTATACGACTTTCAAGTATGAATGGCTGGACGAAGCAGAGGAAGAGAAGAAGGTGTTGCTCTCAGACTTGAGCCTTGCTTACTACCAGTACGCAACAAGTGAACGAAAGTTGCAAGCGCTTGAGACGCATTCCTACAAGGTCAAGGTCACGAATACTGGTTCCGTGGCCGGAGACGCCATTGTCCTTGGTTTCATAACGGGCGGAGATGGCACGGCTCAGCCACTCAAGAAGCTGTTTGACTTTGGTCGATTGAACAACTTGCAGCCTGGAGAATCTGCCAAGTTAGGACTAACCGTGCCTACCGAAACGCTGCGAACATTTGCAAGTAGTGACGTGCTCAAGAAGATGGAGCAAGGACTGCGCGTTCCAGGTTTCAACAGAGTATTGCAGGTTGAAGTTGGCGACATACAAAACCCAGCCAAGAGAGCCTTGCATCTTGTTTAGTTGCCGGTAGCCTACTGGTACCGTACAATCTTAATAAGATTACTAGAGTATAAAACAACTATTATGATATGCATGTGATGCTTGCTGGCATACCTGGTAGCAGGCTACCGGTAGGCCTGCAGGAACGTTTCAATCAAAAGCCTCCACCGGTACATACGGTACATGGTACAGTAGCTCTTGCTAGCGAGCAACCAGCCATGCGGTGGCGATGAAAGAAGGCAAAAGGACGGTCCAAAGATCTCCAACCACCCACCATCCAGTGTTCGCGCCAAAAAACTTGAATGAAAGTTAAACGAGCATGGAGGAAGCAACCTGACGGCTGCCATGTTTGATTTGTTGATTTTTTTAAAAATGATGGTGTAGCATGGCTTGGGCTCGTTGCACGCGGGAGCACCGACGCACGTACTTGCGAATGGAAATTCAACTAGATTTCGGCGCACAAGTCATCGTGAAAACCGACTCCAATTTCCGACCACAAGAAAACAAACAACTGCAAAGCAAAGATGAACAGGAGTACTACTACTGCAAGCAATGCAAAGGCTACTACTAGCCCAAGATTTGCCGAAGAGGGGCTTCTTGCCATCAAAGAAGTGGAGCGGCTGTTGTTTTTTACTGATTTGAAGGACCAGAATGCAAATGATCGTGAAGATGGGTTGAAGGCGGTGAAGAAGTTGGACCGCTGGTTGTCGACCAATGAGCTCGTGGGGACAAATCACATTCAATGCATTTCAAATAGCCGATCTAGAAGCGATATGAGCAAGATGTCTACGGTCAGTTCTATTTCTCACCCTACTTGCTCTACTCTTACTACGACACACTTGGAAGATCAGGAGGGACCTTGCTCCGTGGAGTCGTTGCGCAAAGTCATGGAGTTGATCCGGGCTCAATTGGAGGCTTCCGTGGAATCTGGACGCCAAACTGTCAAGGAGGCAGAGCGACTTGTCTTTTTCACCGATTTGGATGATCGTAAGCACCATGGAATAATGACCGATCCATCTGAAACCCCATTGGCCAAGTTGCAGCAAATGCTCAAGCAAATGGAATTTGCCTTTACCAAACAGTTGGCTGCAATGGGAAAACAGACTAGTCAGGTGTTGCAGGAATGTGAAAGAACGGTCCTTTTCACGGATGTGCCTGATGAAAGCAAGAAGATTGGCCACCGCTTCTTCCAGTACAAAAAACAGAAAAACAAGCAAGAGCAGAATCCCCAAACAACAGTCCTGCAGGAATTGGAGCGACAACTCTTGTTCACTGATGTCAGTGCCTAAGCTCAAGTAAACGAGGAAGGTGCAAAGTTGGGTTTTCTGTACCGGTACAGGAGCAGAGGCACAACAAAGCACAGGCAAAGAGGACTTCAAGTAGAACACTGTTGATTCGATTCCTACCTTATCAGCTATCTATCGTGCCAGTCAACCAGCCAGCTTTCACCATTCCGTACAGTATCAGTAGTCAATCGATAAAAAAAGGTAATCCATCATGTTTATGTACTCGCTGGCCAGGCTTGGTTTTCGGTTTCGATGGAATCATACTTGTACAATCAGTCGTTGTCATGAAAAGGATGCCTTTTCAGCAGGCTATTGTCGGCATCGGTTGCTTTTCCAAACAACAACGACAGGTCGAGCACAAGATATATTATGCAAAGCCCAACACGATGCAGAGGCCTCAGATTCGTTCATCATTCCCGCAAAACACCAGGATCCACTCCGGCTCCGCACCAGGATTCACCCCCGGTCCATCTCCAGGCCCACTCCTGGATAAGGTTGTGGTTTCATCTCCAGGTCACCAGGGCCAACCTGGACGGTCCTGGACCTAGTCCATGCCCGGCCCCACTTATGGTCACACTCCAAGCCCCAGTGCTGACCCAAGCTAGACTAGACCATAGACAGGCCCTACTCCTGGACCAACACCTCGACGAAAACTCCTGGACCAACCCCACCACCGACCCAACACCTCGACGGCAAACTCCAAAGCCACCAGTAGCTAGCAGAGCTGTAAACCCACGAATCATTGAATCAATCGAAGAACGAAAGAAGGGTGGAGATCTTTGCCAAAACCACAAAAAGATCGTGGGCTTCGCGCGTTGTCTGTTCCTGTTGCTGTTGCTGGCCCACCACCTGCGAGGGCTTCTGATCGAGAATCTCTTTATTTGCACATTCTTAATAAGTTGAGTTGCAACCATGGATAGAGCGAAGCAAGGAACAAAAGACAACCTGAGTGACGACTCTTTGGTACCGGTACAGCGCCAGGTATCCGGCCAACAGAAAAGGGGCAAACCAGAGATCGAGGCGACGCCTCGTGGAATCTGGGATCATGAGGATATTTGGATCAACCAGATCTTTCCCTTTCTGTATATGGGCCACTATGTTTTTGTTGGACTGGTGAACAAGCAGATGAACAAGCTCTACAAGAAGTATTGTGATTCTGTAGAGAACCCTCCACGTATGAAAGTTTACAGACGAGAACACCCCAGGGCAACCAGCACTGATACATTCTTCAGCGCGGCTTTCTCCAGTTTGTCTCGTGCTCAGTTTTGGTATTCGAATGACCGGAATTGCTACAAATGGTTTGACGCTGAACGGGACATTGTGAAAAGTGGCAACATACGACTTATCGAATGGGGCCGGGCACATGGATTGCCTTGGAATAATCGAGAATTGTGCCGCACTGCAGCTCACGCTGGGCAGTTGGAAGTTCTCAGGTGGCTTCGTGAAAACGACCGCCCATGGGATGCAGACACTTGTTCTTTTGCTGCTTCAGGAGGTCACTTTGAAATTGTTACATGGGCGCATGAGAATGGCTGCCCATGGGATAGGGTGACCACTTTTTCTGCTGTTGCAAAAGGTCATTTTGGAATTCTGAAATATGCGCATGAAAATGGATGTCCATGGCAAACTATGATGCTTTGCCCTCGTGTGGCAAGGACGGGAAATCTGGATATGCTGAAATATGTCCACGAGGCTGGCGCCGACCTTGATGATATTGAATACAAATTTGACGATTGCACATGTGCAGTGGCAGCAGGCATGGGAAACATGGACATGCTGCTTTACGCACATCAGAATGGATGTGCTTGGAGCATGTTTACATGCCGCAATGCCGCAGAAGGTGGATACTTGGATGTGGTCAAGTGGCTTCATGAGAATGGATGTCCATGGGATAGCAGTGTTTGTGCAAAGGCTGCCGATAAGGGGCATTTGGATATCCTCAAATATGCACATGAACATGGATGCCCATGGGATGAATCTACATGCAAGGAAGCTGCTGAAAAGGGGCGGCTGGAGATGCTGAAATATGCACACGAAAATGGCTGTCCATGGGACAAGAATGTTTGCGAACGAGCAGCTTGGTTTGGGCATTTTCAAGTCTTACACTATGCCCATGAGAACGGATGTCCATGGGAGGATGACACTTGTAGCAGTGCTGCCTGTCGCGCCAACTTTGAAAGCCTCAAATATGCCTATGAGCATGGTTGTCCATGGGAGGAAGAACTGATTGATGAAGCAGCAAGGAGTTGGCTTCCACGTGACGAAGACGGACTTGACGTGGAAGAAAGGAAATGTCGTGGATATGTTCTTAAAGTTGCCGCTGAACGTGGATGCCATGTAGTGGATCAACTTGAATAGGACCAAGATTCTGAAGAGGAAGAGAGTGGCCAAGATTCGGAAAAGGATGAAAGTGGCAGCTATTTGTCGGATTTGAAGGGTGACGAAGATGCAGAGAACGATGATCAGGTGGAGGAGGAAGGAGAGGGAGACGAGGAGGAGGAGCAAGTCTAGTTGCTAGTTGCATTGGCAGTATCTGTATCCAATATGACCTAACTATATATGTAGCTGCTGGCTAGCTAGCAGTCATTGAATCTGATCTGAATCGGCGTCGCCATTGCCGCAAGGCTGGGCTTTGTGGATGTAGCCTTGGAAAGAGAGATGACACGAACCAAAGTCTCGACGAAAGCACCTTCGCGAATTCCGGAGAGATGGATACAGGAGTCAATGCCTGGCTAGAACCATGTAGCTCGACGAAACCAGCAATTTATGCGGCACGTCACTGTTTGGCAGAATGGCTACATACAGTACGCTGTACCGCAAACCGGACCCATACCGTAGCCACAAGTTGAGCTTTCCAAAGTGGTACTGTGGCTTTGCATAGCTACAGCTAGCCCACCCGCCGTAACCCTCCACAACGTTTTCCACGTGACGATAAAGATGGCCGTTGGTACATGTGACTGGCCAATTTTGTCCCGTAGTCGGCATTTTTCTTCGGAGTGGCGGTCCCGAACGGTGCGGGAACGGAATCGAATCTTTCGTCGGAATTGACTTGTGGGAAGCCTCGTCATTCTTGCATGCTTTTCCCTTCGAAGCAGCTAATAGCTGCATCGACCCCCATCCTTCCTTCCTCTCAAAGACAAGCACATCGCCAACAAGAGCCAAGTCTGTGGCCAAGCTGAATCGTACAGTCCAGTGGCACCTTTGCGCCTTGAGCAAAAAGCCATTCTTACTGGAAAGTCTCGAGTCTTGAGAGACAGTAGATCGAGTTTCCTTGAAGCATCCGTTAGTCGCCCTCACTCTGGGTGTCCTCTTTCTCGGTCCCATAATCTTCTTCCCATTGGCAATTACCCTCAGTAATCTGACCACCACCTTTTCCCAAACAGAAAAAGAAGATCGTATTAACCAACCGTCATATACCCATCCATCCATCCTTCTACCATGCCTCGTACTTTTGTCTTCCAAACGACCCTGCCTTCTGTCCTGGACAAGGACGAGGATGCCGCCGCTGTGGAGGAGGGGACACGCAGCAACAACAACATGGAGAACATGGAAATTGCTGGCGGCAACTCGGATAGCGATGACAGCAATGGTAACAATTCGCCTCCTCCTCCTCCGTCCAAGGCCAAGGCAATGTCCAATTGGATCCGCAACAAGTTTCAGACTTCGTTGCACGATGTGAGTAATAATACAAACAGCGCTGGACAGAAAAGTATTTATGTGCCCTTGAGATCGACGACGACGACGGCACGACGACCACGAAGGTTTGATTACAATTATACATATGATTCTCATAACATTGATGAGGATGCTACACGACAGGTAAAACAGAAATTGGCCCAAAGCATGACGGATCCCATTGGCAGAAGCAGCAGTGGTAGTGGGGATGACAAAGAAGAGGCATCCTCTTCCTCTTCGACCGAATCATCATCACCCGCACGACCCAAACAACGGCGGTCCTCGTCCTTCCAAAACTTGTCGGGGATTGAAGTGGAGATTGAATCCTCCACTGACAGGGATGATTGTCTCTACCGAAAACGATATCTCGACACCATCTGGTTCCTCCATAAGAAACAAATCATCCTCGCCGTTGCATTCTTGTTTGTATGGTTGTTGGGGATCCTCATTGGTGCTTGTGGCTCGGGACAGTGCCGTTCTTCCTCCTCCAGTCAGATCGCAGCCATTCAGAGCGTTGGAACCTCTTGCAGTGGAACGGGGCTAGACGATTCTTCTTCTCAAGGCAGCACGGTTCTGGGCAACAACAATTCAAACGACAACAATGTGCCTCAGTACGACGAGGCACCAACTCTGACCAACAAACCTCCCAGCAAACCAAGCAATAATGAAGATGAACTCGTTGCCACACCCATTATTACAAACCAAACCAACCTTTTTGGGCCCCAACGTCATGCTCTTTGATCCTTCCATGTCCACCGCAGAGATTCAAAGACGGGCAGATCAAGTCTTTCGCCAACAACAAAACAATGAAATGGGACGGGAACGCTATGCACTCTTGTTCCAACCGGGAGTGTATGGATCCGCCACAGAACCACTCATGATACAGATTGGATATTACACCGAAGGTACGTACATGTAGTAGTTAATGAGTTATTGTGTCACAGACACACTGCTGCGCCCTCACATCACACATTTCTCCGTTTCAGTGGCTGGACTGGGTCAAAGTCCGCAGGATGTACGAATCATGGGGAAAATTGAAGTCTACAATCGCGTAAGTACAATCAATCAGCAGAAGTTGGAAAGTGGGACTGCGCTTCACTGTAGGGACTATGTCTCACATGAACGACCTCCCATTGTCTTGATTTGAAAGTGCTTTGAAAAGGACCCGTACCAGGATGGCAAATTTATCCCAACCGACAACTCGGAGGAAGGGCTGTGCTTTGCACTCAACTCCTTCTGGAGAGGTCTCTCCAACTTGTCCATACAAATCATCACGCCAGGTTATCAGGACACGTGTCGGGCCACGGCCATGTTCTGGGCAATCTCACAGGCGGCCAGCATGCGTCGCGTCAGCATTGAGGGAGGAGACGTCTCCCTGATGGACTACTGCTCCAATCCCGCATATGCGTCGGGTGGATTCATTGCCGATTCCAAAATTGGAGGCAAGATCATTTCGGGGTCGCAACAACAGTTCCTGACTCGCAATTCCAACGTTGGGGAGTGGAGTGGTTCAGCCTGGAACCAAGTCTTACTGGGGGTAACAGGTGCCCCGGCCGATGATTCTAAATATCCGGATCCAGCCATTACCACAATTGAAAGCAACCCGGCGAACCGCGAAAGACCGTGGCTTTACGTCGACGATGCAGGAGCCTACAATGTATTTGTGCCAGCATTTACCAGTGACACAAAGGATACCTCGTGGTCTCTCAATGGTGGCACTCCTGGCAAATCCATCCCCATCTCGGACTTTTATGTGGCCAAACCCGGTGATGCCGTGTCGGAAATTAACGAGCAACTTTCGGCGGGAAAACACTTGCTCTTGACTCCCGGTGTCTATGATGCTGATGAGAGCATTCTGGTGGAACGTGCCGACACGGTAGTCTTGGGATTGGGGATTGCAACGCTGACAGCCGTGAATGGTGCAGTACCCTTGAAAGTTTCCAGTCAACCTGGAATCATTGTTGCAGGAGTGACCTTCGATGGAGGCCTGACGCTGTCTCCTGTTCTGCTGCAAGTGGGGGCGTTAGGGGACCCTCTCACGAGCAATGGAGATCCAAACAATCCAATTACACTCTCAGATGTCTACTTTCGCATTGGTAAGTTGGGCCCATCTACATGTAGCTAAAGTTGACTCTCCGAGCTGCTGGAACTCTCACATTCATCTAACTAACGATGCTTCCGTTCGTTACCGTACAGGTGGCCCTCACATTGGCAAATCCAACGTTTGCCTTGAGATAAACAGCAATCACGTGCTTGTGGATCACACTTGGGTCTGGCGAGCCGATCATGGCGTGGAAGACTTTGACAAATCGGATGGATTTGATGGCGACAATGAACGTTGGGCCACCAACACGGGCCTGAATGGTGTCATTGTGAATGGCAATGACGTGACGGCTACTGGCTTGTTCGTAGAACACTTTCAGGAATACAATCTGTGTTGGAACGGTGAACGCGGCAGGGTTTTCTTCTTCCAGAATGAGCTGCCGTACGAACCTCCATCCCAGGCCGAGTGGACTGCGGATGATGGCACCCTGGGGTGGGCTGCTTACAAGGTGAGCGATGCCGTCACGGAGCACGAGCTTTGGTGCGGTGGTGTCTATTGCTACAACCGCAACAACCCAGACGTTGTGACCGTCAATGCCTTTGAAGTACCTGAGCGCGATGGGGTTGTTCTGAATCGAATCTACACTCGCAACCTGTCGGGACCTGGGACTATTCAACACATTGTGAACGGTGTTGGCCGTTCAGTGACTGATGCAGAGAAGGGCCCATTTTACGTCATCCAATATCCATAAAGCATAGTCAAACTATGATGCATATTACATATCCAATAGCAGGAGTCATCCATAAAGTCTTCCCCTTTGATCAGCTTGTCACCAATCCTTGTTTATCATCTGACTGATTCTTGCTCGGTCACAGTACTACTACTACTACTACTACCAGTACTGTTATCAGCGATATACCCCTTTGTGGACTGCATGACCAATTTCTTGAGTCGCTCTTGTTCCAGTATATCCAGTACACTTTGTCGAACTAGCATGTCCGCATTGGCTTGTTGCGAATCAATCAGAGAGACCATACCCCTCAAGGCAGGTTGGTAGAGCGACGTGGTGGGTTGTTGCAAGACAATGGGCATGAGGGCTTGTTTGACCGTGGGAGAGGGGATGAAGGAGGCTCCCAAATTGGACAACTGCACTAGACCCATCCCGTTGGGATCTACCCTGACACCATAACCGATGCGAGGAAGAAAGACTCTATTGGGTCGTATTTCACGTTCCCGCTGTCGTTTATCGGCATACTGTTGTCCCATGAGGTAGTTGTCTCGCTGCCATTGGGTCGCCTGGAGGATCGTGTTGTAGACTGGACTCCCTCGTCGTAAGTGGTCCTTCATGTAATTGGCAACGGTAGCGCCGAGCTCGTTGCTGCCGTCATCTTGCTCTGTTGCAGATGGTCCTCTACGGGTGGAAACTTTGCTGCTGCTGCTCATACTAGTAGTCTCTTCAGAGACAAGCCGTCTCGATGTTTTTGCTGCTTGCTACCAGTAGCTGCTTGCTGCAAAGTGAGCTTTGAAGGGGATGGCTACCTTGTGTTAATTGGGACTACTAGTACTACATAAGATTGGTCACACTTAATCCAGCGCATGTCTGTCCGTCGTCGGTCAAAATGTGAGCTACCTCGAAAATTCTTTTATTCGCGGAACGTCTTCGTAACATATAGAGCTATCCAGCGATGTATTGATCATACCCAGCGCAGGTCTAGTTACTGAGTAATACGTAACCGACAGATCTAATCTCAGGTGTGCGAAACTGTTAATCGTGCAGCATTGGCTGACTCCACACCTATCAGGCCACTCTTACACGACTTTTCGCACTATCGAAACTCCTTCCAAGCTAAACAAAGATGGCGAAATCGTAGCCTGTTACACCATGACGGAGCCTCTCAACACCACCGACACCCCTAGTAATAGCATCGAAGTCAGCCCTGTGAGAAAGATCCACTCTCCAGGCATTAGAAACAAGCTTATTAGAGGGAAGAAGTGCAAAAATCCGCCCAACGTGGAAGCCTTAAAGCAAGAGTTGCGAGAATGGTTGGCGGCCTATCGACTACTTGACAACTGCGTCTCAGTGAAGAATAGTGGAAGAGACAAGGCATGCACCTGTTGCAAGGATATTCCAGAAGGTGGGAGCTACAATTTCTATGTCATTGTAAACTCTCTTTATGAATTCGCTTTGAGAGACCGGAAGGGCCAACTATCCTGGGTGGCCGAATGGATCAAATACACGAAACGACAGATGAAACACAAGCATCTATTCAACAAGGAAGAACAAGCAAGATGCTACCTCATGCCTGGGATCTGTCTTGACCCAGTTTCATGCTGTCGAGATACTCTGATGAGAATGATTGGATTCGGTTATGAGAAGTGGAAAACTTGTGAGAACATTGCCGACGGCAAGCGAACTACATCCCACGGCAACGACGGCAGAGCCCACAGGAGTCAAGAAGCAGTGGACAATTCGCTGTCGGTGTTCTTCGAATCCATGAAACAGCTAGCATGCCCAAGAGCAACTCTATTCATTAGAGATCTGGTTGGGGACACTGTTAAGAATTCCATGAGAGACGACAATGAGGAACTCCTTGAACTGCCTTCGTGCAACTCAAAAAGGCAACTGTACGGAAGATACATCCATGAAAGGGGATACAAGTACATCATTGATTCGAAAGGAGCAGTCACATCCAACGTCCCACTTCCCGACAAAGAACAACAGCCGGTCTGCAGCTGGGCGAAATTCCACAAATACTGGGCGAGGAACTACCCTCTCCTAATAGTGTGTCGCCCTAGAGAAGACATCTGTAACGAATGCTTCAAGCATGCCATCGACACAAAGTGACGATTTGGTCAGTCGACTTCAAGCCAAGGAAGAACGATTGGACAGAATGCAACTTGCTGGTGACTCCGACAATGAAGAGAGGAAGAACAAAGAAGAACAAGCACAACAGGAACAACCACAACAACTCGTTCAAAACAGCGAACGACAGCACCCACAGCATCACAGATTGAAAGGGCGAAACTATTGCAAGAGCAAGTTGAACTCCTTGCGGCAAGTGCACATCATGTCAGGATGTACAATGATCAGCGCGCTCTCTTCCAGCAATACAAGTCCATTTCCGTGGAGTCCAAAGATAAGCGACCAAGTGAGATGTCTCTTTGCTTTGTCGCTGACTATGCACAGAATATGGGTATTCCTTGCTTTGGCTTTGAACAACCAGGCGAAACTTACTACTACAGTCCGCTCAACACATACTGCTTTGGCGTTGTTGACACAGCCGTGGATCACCTTTCGGGCTATGTTTACACAGAAGAAGCCGCAAAGAAAGGAGGGAACAACGTTGCATCACTTTTGTGTATGCATCTTCAACAGAGCGGAGTACTCTATACAACAGAGCCCTTCAAGGAGATAGCATTCTTCTTCGACAACTATCCTGGACAGAACAAAAACAACATGGTGATCCGTCTCATCTACCTGCTTATCAAGTTGAAAGTTACCATGAGCGCAAAGTGCTGCTTCCTTATCCGTGGCCACACGAAGAATGACTGCGACAGGTTGTTTAACTGCATGAAGAAAGACTATCGAAAGGTACACGATGGACATTGTTCTTCCCACGAAAACCTGAAAAATGAAACGTCTTATCCACTTGCTTGCTGCTACTTCTTTCTACTCTTATAGTCCAACATCTATCTGCCCGAAGACATGATCAAAGCTCTTACTCACCCACAAGTGCAGCCGGTTTGGGTTACGGCCGATGATATGTTCGATTTCGATAAGCTGGGAAACCAGTACATGTACAGGATAGCAAGTGGAATAGACAACAACCATGTCTTCGAGTGCACATCCGGCATGGAGAATGGCGCAATGATGTGTATTCAAGAGTGGATCAATGGCGTCCGTGTCTATGAACAGATACAAAAGAAATCCGTCAGCAAGAAGATTCTAAAAGATCCGACATGGGACTCTAAAGAGAATTGGCTCCTCCGTATGAAGGAACTTCAACCTATTCCTTCTATCGGTGTACAAGACATCAAGTGGATCGAGCTATATGATAAGTGGGGTCCTCTCATCCCCGAAGAGAAGAGGAAACAGCTAAAATGGTACAATGAAGATCCTGGTACGGAGCGTCGCCAGAAGGTTAAGAGCAACACAAAGGCTTCCAAGGGTGCCAGAGCAGCGAGAACCATCACTGCTGCAACTAGTTAGTCTAATAGAGGTCTAGTCTATGCTGGATAATGAGTTTGTTATATGGTAAGATTGAGTTTTGGTGGCTGGAACGCTTGTGAGCTTCATTGTGGTGGCTCACTTTTTGTTTTTCGCGATTATCTCAGCTTCGAGTTTCCAGATATTCCGGACGATGACAGACGGTGCGTTGCTGGTTTTTGTGTGGCCAGTCTTACATGTAGGACTCTCAAAAGGCAAGCTGAGAATCCCATTCCTCTGCAAATTTGGTTTCACTTCTGTCAAACACTGCTCCCCAACACTGCCATTTAGGGGGGTTTAGGCAAGAAGGAGGGGGGGAGGAGGAGGAGGAGAAGAGGAGGGAGATTGAAACTTGATTCCATGTTCCCCATCCACGAACAAACTGGCCTCACTCGCGAGTCATGACACCTAACTGAAAGTGATACGAAAAAGAGGGGCGGAGGCAAGAAAGCTGGGGTAACCATAAATCCACTTTGTCTTACCCCCTACATCGTTAACTAATTTAATCGAGTAAGTGTCATCAAGCAACCGTCACACATTCAAAAACATTCAACTGTGCGTCTAATAACATTATTCAATTTCTGTCCTGTTCTCTTCTGGACGCTCCCATTACTTTTCTATCCTGCAAACGGATGAAAACATTGGACTCCTTTACGGAACCGACAAAGAGGATGGTGTGGCGGCCTGCCCACACGATGACGAAGCCACTGACCGTATGGAGGACAGCATTGCGAAACCGGTGCCATGAAGAATGGGTAAGCAGGTGCAGGTAGCATCGGCATGTGATACTGGTGAACGACGGTGTTTGGCAGGATGGGAGTTGCGCGCGTGAGAGGTGCTGTCGCTGGTGCTGTTGCTATCGCTGGTACTGGTACCCTCGCTGGTGCTGCTGTCGCTGTTGTTGTTTGAATGGTTTGGCGATGTACGATGACGTTCTGCACTATGGTGTTGGGGGTAGCCGTTGGTGGAGCTGGGACAATACCGGCAGGTTCGTTATCCATGGCGTTCAAATTCAAATCTTGCTCCGGTGCACTTTTGCAGTGAACGCACAAGCAGAATCCCATTTCATCGTATTGTTGTCGAGTTGGACGTACTGTGGTGATGTATTCAGAGAAGAAGCGCTCACCATTATCTGCTGGCAATTTCTCTGCTTTAGGAAAAGGAAGAATGGTGACTCCAGTTGCCGTGGCCATGGCGTTGATCCACCAAAGCTCGGTGTGGTTTGTAAAGGGAACCACTTTTTCCCAACCTGCCGGTATTTTCATTCTGTCTTCTCTGCTGAACAACAACAATGCCCTCTTGTGTCTAATTTTCATGTTGTACCTTGCCGTGCCACACAAATTCAAGTTGTCGCAGAGAGTTCTTCTCATGCCACTGTTCCCGAAGTGAGCGAAGCGATCATGGAATCCTTCGAGCTTGGATTCTCCTCTATTTGACAGATATTCGCGAAGACTGTGCTTGGAATTTGGGTTTGGTACGATAGCATCATACATCTCATTGAGGGGCAATGGGTCTGACAGAAACCTCGCCTTTTCTTTGCAGTTCTCAACAGCCGTTTTGGTGTCATGAGTGAACAAAGTGACCTTCTTGATTGGATCAAGTCGACCACTAGCAGGCCTTTCATTGGAAGATGAGGTCACCTTGAATCGACAAAACCATTGGTCGAGTTTCTGCACGATGGTCTCTGGTTCATGCAATGTCTTGCGTAAGTACTTGCCATATCGCTTTCGAAAAAGAGGTGATGCTTGCATGTCTGCAATCTCACTGCTTGAGTAGCTTTTTCCGACCACCGAAAGAGATCCATCCTTGAGAGCACGCAACAGGTTCTCATAATCAATAGGTAAGTAACTATACAAGCACGCGAGAAGCTCAGTCACTGCCTCACCGTAGTCAATGTGACCTTTCCGGAGTGTAGACAGAATCCTTTTCTCATAATGAAACAGGCCCAAGCGTCCTTCAACACCAGGAATCATTTGCTCCCAAAAGTCGTTTTTGTTTGGCCAAGTGTCACTGTACATTGCCCTTGGTTGAAAACCTTGTTGACTGAAGAGCAGTTTGGCCGCATGAGCAAAATGAATGGTCTTGGTTGAGGGAACCAACACAGCACTTGCAATCTCTCCGGTGGAAGTTGCGACATCCCAAACAGCAACAGCTCCAAGGCTGCGTTGGTAATTCTTCACGACTTGGAATGTATGATCTTGAGCAAAGATGCCTGTGCAGCTAACACTTTGCATCT